TCCTCAGCTGAGGGTGAGGTCTGTGTTATGCGGAGGTTTCGGGAGTTGATTCTCCACCTCGTGTCTGCAGAGTCACGGTCAGGCATCACACCCCGTGATCCTCTGTGGCTCCTGCTGCCTCCCCACAGTGCCTTGTGGCCAGCTTCTAATCCACGTGTTCCTTTGGATCTGAGGTGCTGTTACTTGAAGGAACTCTACCCATTTGAAATTGAAATATAAACTTCATATAGACAACTTTTTGTTCATCAGCCATTTAGACGTGTACTGTTACAAAACGTGTCGTGAAAAAAAAAATACTTAATTCTGAATTGGTTTGATGCTCAGCCATTGATTGAAAGACGCATCCCAATTTTAGACACATTGAAATGTTAGGGGAAGAAAGAGTACATTTTCGTGATGATGGAAGAATAATAGTCTTTGTCCAATTACAAGTTACATCAGTTACTTGGAAAATGCTCTAATCAGGCACCATTGTTTACCAGGGTCTTGTTGAGCTGTTAAGTCAGAGTTTTGTGAACGTAGCAGTATGTATGTATATAAATTATATCAAGAACCATAACACTTACTTTTAACAGTTGTTGTTCAGTTGTGTCTGACTCTTGGCGACCCCAAGGACTGTAGCCCGCCAGGCTTCTCTGTCCATGGGATTTCCCAGGCAAGAATACTGAAGTGGGTTGCCATTTCCTATTCCACTTTTTGTGTTGTATTTAGTATTTCCATATGTTAAATACAATTAGTGGTGTAATGAGCACACTGATGGGTGAACTTGTATGTGCTTCCTCAGTTGTGTTTCCTCTAAAATGCATCTTTTTTCCTTGTAACTTTTTAAACATTATTATTTTTTAAAATTATACGCAATTTAAAATATTTTTTGGCCACACCATGTGACATGCGGGATCTTTGTTCTCCAATCAGGGACCCAAACCCACGCCCCCTGCAGTGGAAACTTAAGAGTTTTAACCACTGGACACCAAGGAAGTCCTTTTCAGTTTTTAATTTATACATAGATGAGTACATTCTAATAAAAACCCAAAATTCTAGTGGCACCCAGCTGTCTATAGAGTAGGAGGTGGTCACTTACCAGCTTGTTGATCACCTGGAGGAGGAAGCCCCGTGGCCTTGGCTTGTGGCCTCTTGGACCTTTCCCTGAGTTACGTGCGCACGGAGTGTGCGTGTGTGCCAGAGCCCAGGTATTTCGGGCTCAGTGAGGGAACCTTCGTTCAGTCAGACCCGTGATCAGCTGACCCCAGAGCGTGAGGTTCAGCCCGAGAGCGCCTTGGTCTCTCTGAACAAATCCTTCCTGTTTCTGCCACGTGCAGCTGACAGTTTACACGCCACGTGTTTTTGGATAGAACTTCTTTGTGATTCCTCTGCTGTCTCAGTCTTTGTCGTGTTTGTGTTGGAGTCTGGAAGTCTGAGATGGCTCCTTTTGATTTTTCTTCTGTTTGATATTTTCATTTGAAACTTTAGCTCTGCCTCTGTATTAACGTTTTCAAATGTAGAAAGAGGCAGGAATCTGCCTTCCTTGTTTTTTTAGCTACTGTGTCAGGATTCTGTTTGCAGAGAGGGAAAGTCACAGAGTGATGGTTCCCTGACCCCAGTGTGCCAGGACTGGGGAAGGGGTGGGCGAAAGGGCTGTGGGTGCACTGCCCTTAACCTCTCAGAAGGTCCCCGTGGCTTCTGTCATGGCTCGCTGGTACCTGTAAGCGCAGGAGGCCCGTGATCTTTTAAGCACCTGGGCCCTCAGGTTATTGTCGCTGCAGCTGGTTTTGTGATCCCGCTACTCTGATTCATGACAGAGGACGTCGCACCATGATGGTCACAGCATAGAAATTTCCTTGAGAGATGTGGGAACGGGTGATGTGGGCCCTGGGAGATACGATGACTAAATTGTATGCTGATGAGACTCGAGTGTGGTTTTAATGCAGAGGTCTTGTCAGCTGTGAGATTCCGTAGAGGCTTTGCTGCATGAGACGAGCAACCATCCTCATTTTCATTCTTGAGTAGAAAAGATCAAACCTCTTCCTTGACATTGTTCTGTAAACCCCTTTGGAGAACTGAAGACAGGTGCATGTTCACTCTCGGAAGCGGTGATCGACAGAAGGCCCTGCCGTGTGTCCGATGCTGGTGTGAAAGTGTGCTGTCCCGACCATCATAGGTCGTTTCACAGAGTGATGATGCTTCTTGTGATATCAGTCAGTCAGTCGCTCAGTCATGTCCGACTCTGCGACCCCGTGGACTTCAGCATGCCAGGCTTCCCTGTCCATCACCAATTCCCGGAGCCTACTCAAACTCATGTCCGTATTGAATAACAGCATCCCAGCTCTTTCATTAGGACTGTGTACCTTTTCTAGGTTACTTGGCTGTTTAAGACTTGTGCTCACACATTGAGTTATCCAGCGCAGGGGTCAAACACCTTCTGGATGCTCATTTTTGATGATGTTGTATAGGGAAGGCCAGGTCTTTAGTGACGAGGTCATCAGCAAACTATTTGATCAAAACTTGATTGATCCCACACGTATTGATGGAGTGCCTGCCACAAGCTGGCCCTGAGACCAGGCTGTGAGCAGGCACCCTGTCCTCCAGCTGGACTCCGGTCATCCCCATGCCTAGTGGGGTGCGGGGGCGCTGCTCCTCCCGCCCGCAGGCCCTGTCTAGTGGCTCTACCTGGCCCCCAGCCCTCTCCTGCCCTCGGAGCTTCCTTCCTCTCAGGGTTCCTCCAAGAGCCCAAGCCAGAGGAGCCAGCTGCAGGGTTTTCTGAATCTGCCCAGACGCTTGTCAGACTTGTCGTGTCTTTCCGCACCGATGGGGCCTCCCGTTCCAGAGCCACAGCAGTACCTCGAGGGGCCCTGCCTGCCCAGAGGAAGAGCTCCAGGGTGCACCGGAGCCTCCTTGTCCAGCCAGGCGGCCAGCAGGATCCAGCAAGTGTCCTCCTCCTAACATGTGCTACAGCAGTTGTGAAATTATAGATGCGGTTTATTCCGTATCTCAGACACGCATGTCATTGGTGCGTCTCACTGGCGGAACAGGACAAGGCAAGTCAGCAGCCGTCCGACTCCCCGCTGGTCACATGCGGCCCGGAGGGCAGACCCCGGGAAGCAGAGGTGTGTGTCTCACATGGCCATCCTTTCCACTCTGCAGTGGCATCTGGGGGGTTGGAGTGCCTGTCTCCTGATGCTTTCACGTGTTGGGCGTGTGGAACGTGAGCTTGGATTTGACGACATCGGCTCGGCTGCTCTTTTTCCAAGTCTCCCGGCCAGTTGCCTGGCTCCTCCAGGCCTCTGTCCTCACTCAGCATCTCTGCCCCTCTGTGCTCTGTTATCAACAGCGCTGAGCGCAGGGGAGCGTGTGTTCCTGGTGCTTGGGTGTGCTGACCGCTCACCAACAGACGGCTTGACCTAGGGGTGTGTGGGCCTCCCGGCAGGCGCTGGGGGCAGAGGCTGACGTCCTCGCTAGCACGAGGGTCCCTGGTGTGGTCACTCACCTGGCACGTCTGGTCCTCCTGATGACCATGCTAAGCTCGGGGAATTGTGGCTCATGGCTCTCACGACGTGCCATCTGAGCCCCTGGAAGGGGTGGAGGAAAAGGCTCAGCATGTCGTTGGCTCTCAGTCATTGTCGAGATGATAGAAGCTTTACCTTCTAAGTCTTGGGAATTTGATAGCTATTTTGGTAAAATTACTGCATTTCAGTGTGGTATGACTTACTACCTCTTCTGATTAACTGAAAACTGGACTCACGGCTTAAGCAGTAGCAGGCTTGGGGTGATGTTTTGTTTGAAAAGTCAGTGGTGGCCTCGCTGACGCCGCCGATGCGCTGTGAACAGGGTGTTGAGGGTTTGTCTCCTGTTCCTTCCCGTCTGGGCTTTCAGTGGCTTCACTTGCTTGTAGACTGTGCGCTAGGACTGTAGGCGTGGGTGGCTGCAGGGAGGCAACCCTGCGGGTGAGGGTCACAGCGGACCGTGAGCTGCGGTCGGTGCGGGACGAGATGTCAGCGGTCTGGCCTCACCTTCCTGGCTGGGCACCAGGTGGTCCTGTCAAGTCGTGCGTGCTCTCAGGTGGACTCACTGTGGAGCTGATGTTGATAGTAGTATTGTTTTTGATGTTGATATTATTATTGAACGAATTTCACTTTATCTTCTTTTCCTTACTAGTAATCAAACTTGGAATGGAACCAGGTAGATTTGACTTGATACATAATTTCTGGGAGTAGGTTATTTGCTCCCTTATCTTTAATCCTGCCAAGTATCTGAGGGTGGCATGTCCTTCCTTCCAGCAGAACGGTGACCCTACGTTGCCACCCCCAGGGGACTGGCAGAGAAGTGACTCTGGGGGCTGGGGTGTGAGGTGGCTTTCAGAGCCCACTGGTGTCTCCTGAAGCCACTGCTTTTTATTTTATATCTTTGTTAGAAACAGTGGAGCGGGGGAGGGCTGAACTGACTTGGGTTCCTCACACCTTGGTCACTGGCTCCGGAGTCGTGGCCTGGGCCCTTGTTGCTGATCTGGGGTGTTGTCTCAGTGGGTCAGGCAGACCTGGCCGCTGAGACTCGGGCCTGCCAGGCTCCTGAGGTCAGGAGTCTTCTCCTGGCCTGGCCTGTCTCAGACTCCACAGTGAGGGCGCCCCTGGGTCTGGAGCACACCCACCTGAGGTAAGGCCCCTGGGTAATGGGGTCCCTGCTCCGCCTCCGTTGGGAGCTCCCTTCAACTTTGGATGGCATTTTCTCAGTTTTTTAATGTCAGGTCACTGAGATGTTTCTTTTGGATAAGACTTTAAACATCAGTCGAAAGTTTTGGTGAAATGCGCTCCTGTTACTCTGGGGTGCTAAACCGTGCTGTTGGATTGCATCCCCACAGAGGGGTCACCTCATCCTGTACGCTCAGAGGAAACAAGAAACTGGGTTTTAATTAGCCGGAGATACGCTTTAGTGTCATGCTGATCTCAGAACGAGGCGTGTGGTTACATCTAATGTTGACTCTGGTGTGTTTCTCTTTTGTCCACTAGGCTGCATGAGGAAATAATTGACTTTTATAACTTCATGTCCCCTTGTCCTGAAGAAGCCGCCATGAGGAGAGAAGTGGTGAGAAGGATCGAGACGGTGGTGAAGGACCTCTGGCCAACGGCTGACGTGCGTATCTGCGCTGTGCGCCGCCGCGCGGTGGGCGCCCTATGTCTGCGGGCCTGCGCAGAGCCGGCAGGCCGGGCCCCGCTGTGGTGCTGGCGGGGTGGTGGCCTCAGCTGGAGCTTGTTAGAGACGCACGTGCCCCTGCCAGCCCCGCCGAGGGAGACCCTGGGAACTCGGGCTGGGGGCAGGGTTCTGTGCTCAGCTCGCCACCGCCCCCCCCCCCCCACCACCCCCCCAACCCACCCCACGGTTGTTCTGAGCTTCTGACATCTTCAAGTGTGAGGACCATCTGCCTTGGAGAATTCTTTTTTGGAATCTTGTGATTATTTTCCTTGTTTGTAATTTACCCTAATATAAGGTTACCCCTTCCCGCACCACACTGCATCGCAGGGTTCCGTTCCATGAACCCTGGAAGTGTTTGCTTGCAAACCGCTTCCCCAGTGAGTGAACCATGTGTGCTCATGGAGGCGTGCTCCATGGGCCCTGGGCACCTGGGGGGCAGTGAGAGAAGGCCCTCTGGTGCCCTGGCACCCCTGCCCCCACTGCAGCAGTTTCATCCTTGTCCTTGGGTGCCCTGGGACAGAGCCCTGTGCTGTCCACAGCCTGGGCACCAGTGCTGCGTGGCTGTGGGTACCGCCAGGAGCTGTTTTGTCCTTTGATTCTGAGTTTTGGAGAATTCCTTTTGGGGCAGGCTTTTAACTTAAGGCTTGAGAGGATGCTGCTGGTCAGTGGGGCCCCAGACAGGAGCCGAGTGAGCAGTGGCAGGTCTGAGCCGCGCGCCCTCTGTTGCAGGTGCAGATATTCGGCAGCTTCAGCACTGGCCTCTATCTTCCCACCAGGTGAGCACCCACTCCGCACAGATGAGGGCATGGTGGACGAAGCTGGGGGTGAGGGGCGGCGTCTGTGTGCGTGCTGAAGGCTGAAAGCAGATTCCTTGTGTGCAAATCTGAGGCTGGAAAAATGTAAGCTAAAGGAAAAGACCACGGAGCACCGGGGCCAAATTTCGGGAAGCAGACATTTAATTTACTGTTAGGATCATTGATTGCTTTGCCTGTTTCCTCTTGCACTTACTGGGATGGGCTGCAGAGAAGATGAGAGAGGAGGGGGCGTGAGGAAGATGGGAGCTGTGGAGTAAGTGCAGCAGAAACAGTCTGAGCTCTTTGGATATTTTTGCAAAGTTGCTTTTACATTTTAATGAAACTTCAAGCAAAGTTGCATTTGAATAGTATTTTGTGAGGATTTTTAATTGATAGAAAAACATCAAACAGGTGTTTGCATTTTAGAATTATTCTCCAGAGTTTCCTCATAAAGGGCTTTTTAATGTCTAGTTTTATGTGCATCATTTTATTAAAAACTTACATGCTGCTAAGCCAGTTTAATCCTCGGAGACTAAAGAGACTGTAGCCTCAGGAGTTTTGGGGTGGCATTGGCAAGGCCGGTGGGGAGCTGGGTCCACTGCAGGTGTCCTGGCGTCCAGGGCCACGCAGACAGGAGGACCAGGCTTCTGTGGTCCCCACGACTCGGTCAGCATCTGCTCTCCACCCGTGTTACAGGCAGTTCACAGACTTCATTTTCTCTCACTGAGAGGGAGGGCCTGGTGGGGTGATGTTGCCCCTGGAAGCACTGCGGGCCTGCAGCCGGTGTGTTACAGTGCAGACTGGGGGCAGGGGTTCACGCTCGCTTCTCTCCTGTCCAGTGACATCGACCTAGTGGTCTTCGGGAAGTGGGAGCGCCCCCCGCTGCAGCTGCTGGAGCAGGCCCTGCGGAAGCACAATGTGGCCGAGCCGGGCTCCATCAAGGTCCTGGACAAGGCGACGGTGAGTGCCGCTGCTGGGCGCCCCGCCCGAGCAGCCTGTGGGATTAGCTGACGTGGTTCACAGCGGGTACTGGTTCTGTTTGAAGACCGCTCCACTTCTTGTGTGAATGTGCTTGTGTTGTTTTGTAGTTAGGGTTTCTAGCTGACGATATGTTTAGAGGCCGTCTGAAGTACACGTTGTACTGCAAACACTGAACTCCTCCTGCACTAGAATACACGACTAGGTCGCCCTTTGTGAAGCCGTGCAAGGAGGGGATGATCATACCCGAGGCAGGGCACACTCAGAGGCTGCCCTCTGTGGAGAGTGGAGCCCAGTGATCAAACCGTGGTGTTCATTACATAGAAAAAGGTACTGTTTGCCAAGTTAAACTTCAGAAAGAAAAACTCCTGTTCCAGAAATTTCCACATATGAAAAAACATACTTCCCTCAGGCAGAAGGTGGATGATCAGGCCTCTCTGTTGTGCATGTCAGGGTCTGTCCAAGCCCAGAGCTCTGCACAGCCCAGGAGCCCTGTGTCAGCGGCCTGCTCCATGATGCTCCTCAGTCTTGGCCCCGCCCCTCCGGCCACGCCCCCTCCGTGGCTCTGTCCCTGGTGCCGGGTGGCTGCTGGCCTCTGATCAGGCATCGGTGTTTACATGCAGAGCAGCCGAGGGGGCTCAGCCTGACTGTCCTGAGCAGCCCTCAGAATGTGAGTTTGGCAGTGTTACTACTAGTTCCCAGTATCGGGGTTCATACTCATAGGAGTATGGGGTATGTGTGTCTAAACTCCTTTTCTGTTTAAGGAGAAAACCCTCTGTATAACTTGGGAAACATTTTGATACCTGACCATAAACAATGTTGCCTGTTAAAGCCAATTTCCTAAATTAAATCTTTGCAGGTACCAATTATAAAACTCACAGACCAGGAGACGGAAGTTAAAGTCGACATCAGCTTTAACATGGAGACCGGGGTGCGGGCAGCAGAGTTCATCAAGAATTACATGAAGGTGCTGTCAGCGCAAGTTAGCATGGTGCAGATAAGGGGCTTGTTAAGTTGACTGACTTTTCCCTTGTAAATGTTGAAACCATTAAACTGATGATAATCTTTAATGAGAAAGACGGTTACAGGTGGATTTACCTTAGAGTGTTATTTCTTTGAAGTTACATAGCTGTTTTGCAGCTTTGCCTTCCTTTTCCTAATTTAGATATTTGCACATTATAGAGATCTTTCTAGTTATTACACAGTGACCATCCCTGCAGCTCCTTCTGCTTGATTTGCAAGTTGAGTACATCACAGTGGAGCGTAGGTTTGCTTTCTCTTGGGGGGGCGGTGGTGGGGGCGGCGGTCTCAGTGCCTCAGGATGGAAGGCGTTCCTTGAGCTGAGGGACTCTGGACTCTGACCAGGTGTGTGGTGCAGTTAGACGGTGCGTCCCTCCCTGTTCAGAGAGCTGCGTTGTCTGGACTCTGCCTCTGCTTCCAGTTTGAGGCCTTGCTCCTCGGGAGCCTCTCGCTCTGCAGTCAGGCTTGTTCTCAGAGTCCCCTCTGCCGCAGCAGCGCTGAAGCCCAGCGAAGGCAGCCGGGCCCCTGCGCCCCTTCTCAGCGCCGCTTGCCCCAGGGCTCCTTGTTCCCACGCCTTGCTCTCCACCCTTGTCCTGAATCCTGCTGGCCTCCTACCTCGTCGTGAGCTACCCACCCCTTGCTTGTCTCATGGGTGCCTCTTGAGTGTGGGCGTTTTGTCCACTGGTTCTGGGACCTTCCCTCGCCCACAGCTGCACCCACAGAGCCCTGTGCTCAGCTCCTGAGAGCGGGCAGAAACTTGGAGGAAGCACCTGTTCATTCCCCACGCCCCTGGGCCTGGGGTCTCCATGCAGGCCCCCTGCCTCAGCCGTGCTAAACCATAATCTGAGGAGGGGCCCCCAGGAGGGCCCTAGTGAGCCCCCCTCATGGATCTCTTCTCAGGCCCCTGTGGGGTAAGGAGGCCTGGCCTTGAGCGTCCCAAGGAGCAGGACGAGGAAGTGAGCTTCCGGTCTGCACGTGGAGTCTGCCCAGTGCGGACTCTTCAAAGCCATGGTAACTAACCAGATGCTGTCTTTCTTTTGGAATTTGCAGAAATATTCGTTGCTGCCTTACTTGATTTTAGTACTGAAACAGTTCCTCCTGCAGAGGGACCTGAATGAAGTTTTTACAGGCGGGATTAGCTCGTACAGCCTCATTTTAATGGCCATTAGCTTTCTGCAGGTGAGTGTGGTTTGTCTCAGGAACTCTTGACCTTGAGGCTGCCGTGGGCCTCATTGTTCCCTGGTGTTCTGACTGGGTGCTTCTCGGCTTCCAGCTCCTTGCTGTCCCTGCACAGCTCTGTTTTGATGTAGTAGAAACTGACTTCTGATCTTGATGATGAAACTGCTTTGATCAATACTTTTTTCTTTTGCACCTGTTTTTTTTGTGTCTGTTGTAACTGATAGAGGGTTTATCTCATTTTATCAATCAGGTATATTTTGACCTAACCCTGAAGAACCATTATGTTTAGAAAAATTTCATGCCTTGAAAGACAGTGAAAACCTTTCCTTGGTTCTTGACTGTCATTTATACTGAAAAATTTGTCTCAGAAAAAAAGTCGAGTCTCAAACATGGTAAAAAAAAAAAAAAAAAGCTTTTCCCTGGGTGATGAGAAGCCGGTATTTTTCTTTGTCTGTGGCCCATATTTCGTTGAGTAGCGTGGAAACACCTGTCAGAAAACCCAGCAGAGTGTTGCACGCTGTGCCACGCTGACGACCTGTCCTCACGCTGCGTTTTAACGTGTGGTCTCTGTGTGAATCGAGGCACTGTCGTGCCGTTGCACTCTTCAGCCCTCTGCTGTGTTCTGGCCGCACGGCGCTGCTGCTCTGCTCTGTCTGTGGTGGCACTGAGGGCTTTGTGTCGAGACTTGGGCCATTTGTCTTGGCTCCGTTGGCACTGCTGATGGTGGAGCGGCTGGGCCCAGCGCCCTACACCCTGGGGTCTCCTCGGCGCGCCTCTGGGGAGGCCCCGTGGGCAGGTGGGGCTCTCTCGAGGTGTGTCCTCGCTGCGCCTCCCTCACGCTGCCCTTAGAGCCCTTCTGCCCGAGGTGTCAGACCTTTTTGACCTTTTTTTTTTTTTTTAGAACTAAGCATGAAAGCATGAGCTGTGTCCTTAATTTATTTCCTCCCACTCTCCTGAACTGTCCTGGCAGCCTGGCAGTGTGACTACTGCCCACTCTCCTGGTGCCCGGTTCAGTGACCCTGCGGAGGCCACCCGGGCCTGGGCGGGGCGGCCACTGTCAGCTCCACCCCGCTGGGTGCCCGGCCCTTCCCACCTCTGCCCTGTGTCCGCTGCATCGTCTGATCCATGCCGGGCTCACAGAGGTCGTGGCTCACTTGCTTGCCCTGGATAACGCTCAGGCAGGAAGACAGAGGAGGGAGAAGGCCAGACAGCAGCAGCGCTGAGCCTGCGTGAGGTCTCCTGAGCCCGGACACGCCTGCAGCCTGGAGGAGCCACGCTTCCTCCACGGACACTGTGCTGTGGGCGCTTGCACCCGCTGTGCTTCTGCTGGGACTTGGACTCGATGGTCCTTTTCCCGACCGTCACTGTCCAGCAATGCAGGCGGTGCTGTCTGCTTGGTCCGGGATGGCCACATGCGCCCGCGGGGCGCTGGCAGGACCGGCAAGTTGAATGTTTGGTTTCTTTAAACTTGTTTAAATTCACGGCTCAAGGCCGTCACAGTGGGCCATGCACTCAGATTCCTGAGCCTTTCAGTGACACTCGGGAGGGTCAGTATACAGGGGCTCAGCTTCAGAATAAATCCATTAGCTGCTGCAGGAACAGGTGGAGTGGAGCTGAGGCTGAGGCTGATGCTAAGCTGTTTGCTAGGCAGTGAGGTGAGTTTGCTGTAAATACTGGTGCAGAGCTGGTGACTGTTCACAGTTAGGATTAGTCCTTTCATTCATAGCAGTGATACGCTTCGGTCTCACACTGCCCCCTGCTGGTTGCACTTCTGAATAACGGAATTAATACTAGAATCTAGAAAACTGCCTCTACCATCTAGGTGACTCCGAATTGTACAGAATATGGTCCACTCACTTACCAGCATTTGGGAATTTGGGATTAAACAGATGTCTGTGTGGCTTCTGAATTTCATAGGATTGAAGTATAATTTAAAGATTCAGATGAGAAGATTTTCTTCCTCTTGAACAGTCTTGGTTGACAAGTGATCCAGGCTCTACTGGTGCCTCCTGGCTGCCAGGGTGGTGGGTGGACGAGGGCCCCTGACTGCGTCCTGGGCCGGCCGTCTGACCCCGCCACGTGCGCGGTGTTTCCAGTGCCTAGAATCCATACAAACTAGGGTGCCTCACTTTCACAGCTGCATCCGAGGATTGACGCCCGGAGAGCGGACGAGAACCTAGGGATGCTGCTCGTGGAATTTTTTGAACTCTACGGAAGAAATTTTAATTACTTGAAAACTGGTATTAGAATAAAAGAAGGAGGTGCCTATATCGCCAAAGAGGAGATCATGAAAGCCATGACCAGCGGGTACAGACCGTCGATGCTGTGCATTGAGGACCCCCTGCTGCCTGGTAAGGACCCTTGCTCTGCGCCGGCCCCCAGCTGCAGGCTCTGGGCTCCGGCCGCCGATGCCAGCCGGGCAGGCACGGGATCTCCCGGGCGCCCGGCCACGGGCAGTCACTGCATCTCATGTAGGGTCCTGCTGCTCTACCGGGTCAGGGGTGGCATGTCAGAATTCCTTGTTAATACTTCTAAATAACTTACTGTAAAGTTGCAACTTCGTTTACTTTCTATAATCAGAAAAATGTAGAACGTGTGAATTAAGAAAAAAATTCCATTTTTTCTGAACAGAGATGTATTCCCTGTCCGTCATAAGCCATCTGTTTCCCAGGAGTCCGTCGCACAGGAGAGTGAAGCGTGCCATAGCCCGCCCCCCTTCTGTGCGTGCCTCTCCGGGTTCTCGCATGTGGGTGTTGACATTGAGTGTCGCTTCCCTATTAACTGGGTGTGTGCTCGGTCATCTTCAGCTCTTTGCGACCCCATGGACTGCAGCCCACCAGGCTCCCCTGTTCATGGGGTTCTCCAGGGAAGGATACTGGAACGGTTGCCATCTCCTGCTCCAGTTAATTGGATGACATCACATAATACAGACAGCTTTGCCACTTGTGGTTTTACTTGACAGTAAACCTGAGACTCCTCTCCTGTGTGTGGAGGGAGGTTCCTGTGTGAGGCTGGCTGCCTTGCAGAGCCTGGCAGCTTAGGGTGTGTTTCCCACACCTTTGCTGACCGTCTTTGAGATCTCTGCCCGCCTGATAAGGCCAGCCATGTCCCTTTTCACTTACTGTACTTTTCTCTAGTGATGGCTGAGGTTAAACAGAGGGTTACTGGTCAGTCCCACAGGCGTTTATGGAGGGCTTATTGGGTGACACACCGCTCTTATGGTGGGTGATACAATCAGAGGCAGACAGGCGACAGGCCAGGTGGCGAGGTGGCCGGCGCCGGGTGCAGTGCCCCTTTGTGGCTTTCTGTGTGAGCTTGTGCCCTTCGTCCGTCCGTCCGTCCGCTGCACTGTCTCCCCTGGTTTTGTAAGGTCCTCTGTGGTCAGGGAAGCCTTTCTTTGCTGACATGTTGTACTTCTGTCTCTTGCATCTGTATTTGGTATTTTTTATTATTTCTCTGTGTGTGTGTGTGTGTGTGTGTGCGCTAAGTCGTTTTAGTCGTGTCTGACTCCTGACTCTATGGACTGTAACCTGCCAGGCCCCTCCATCCATGGGGTTCTCTGGGCAAGAATACTGGAGTGGGTTGCCATGCCCTCCTTCAGGGGATCTTCCTGACCCAGGGATCAAACCCGCATCTCTTTTATCTCCTCTATTGGCTGACAGGTTGTTCAACACTAGCGCCACCTGGGAAGCCTTTTGTCTCTTGCATTATATTTGGTGTTTTTTTAGTGTTTAGCTCCTGCATATGTTTTTCAACACCCTTAGATTTATGGGTTTTGTTTTGTGGCTCCTGGGGTATGAAATTTATTTCTTAAAAGTCTTCTGAAACTCTCCTCTGTGGTCTGCGTGGTCTGTGTGGCACTTTCTCAGCGGTGCATCTCCCTCCTCCCAGGACAGGCCTCCAGCCCTGGCGTGTCTGCGTTGGGTCAGCTAAGTGGCCGGCAGTCCCTTTGTCTTCAGTGTTTGCTGAAATGTAATTGAAAAAGGAAAACCCACACAGTTACAGAGTGGCTACAGGATTAAACCTGGAAAAGAGAAAACTTTGGTGCTTAAGGATATGTTTCCTAGAAAACCTCCCAACCTGAACTCGAGGAATGAATCGCGTGTGAACTGAACGTGGACAGTCTGCTGCTCCAGCAAAGGCCGCTCCTTACCTGGGCTCCCTTAATGACCCCGGTGGTGCTTCGTTTCATTTGCTGTCTGCAAATGTGAGAGGTTGCATCTCTGATGATGGCTCTCTGTCTCAGGGAACGACGTGGGCCGGAGCTCCTACGGGGCCATGCAGGTGAAGCAGGTGTTCGACTATGCCTACATTGTCCTCAGCCATGCTGTGTCGCCACTCGCCCGGTCCTACCCCAACAGAGACTCGGAAAGGTATCCTTCCTGGGGGCCGCGGCCCCTGTCATTTGTCTTCACGGAGTGTGCCGCCCTGTTTTAGGAGAACCTGAGAATCCTGGGAAAGGAATGCCTTTTGGGAGTTCAGGGTGGCCCTGGTGGTCAAGAGGTGAAAGGTTTTCCTTTAGAGAGCTAGGATTTTCCCAGGGTGTTGGTTTTGGGGAGGTCATTTTTGGCTTTTAAAGCTGTAGAGTGTGATGTTTTTCTCTCCGGCTGCCCTCAGGAGGTGCGTGTCCAGCCCTGAGGGGCGCGTCCCGCCCCCAGCCCTTCCCCCTGCACACCTATCTTTTGTGCCCCGTTTTGAGCACTCACTTTTCTGGTGTGCGCTTTTACTGGTGAGAAGTGTTTCTTCCTGACCGCAGATCATGCGCCTGTGGAGGTGGGGCTGGGATGGAGGGAGGAGCTGAGGGGAAGTGAGAGGCAGGGGTGATGACTATCGCAGGAGGTTGCTGAAGCTGGGCTGGTACCGCCGTCCTCAGAGGTTATGGAGGACGTGGACTTGGAGGCCAGCACGGTGGTGGGGGCACAGGGCTCTGTGGCCTCCGTCCCTGGGTGTTTGTGGGCAAAGCTTTGGGCACTCAGTCTCCCCTGTGTGGTGGGAAATGGGGCCCCTGTGGTCATTGGGACTGGGGGCAGGCTTCCCTACCTGGCGTGGACTTACAGCGGTCCTTAGTGGACAGATGGAGGTTCCAGGACTTCTGCATCCATGCCCCCACTTTTTCTGTACCATGTGGGTTTGGGTTCAAACAGCAGAAGTCAGTCGTAAGATTACCTTCGCTTTTCCCACTTTTGCTTTAGCAGAGCTCTGTGTTAGGATGTAAGGCGGCCCCTGGATAGTGTGGCCGGCTCCCCGGCATGCTCTGTGCTGTGCTCACGCCCGCGTGCCCTTGCCCTTCCGCAGCACCTTAGGGAGGATCATCAAGGTGACCCAGGAGGTGATCGACTACCGGACGTGGATCAAGGAGAAGTGGGGCGGCAGGGTCCACACGGCGCCAGACCCCGGTGAGAGGCCACCCTCCCGTGGCTCTGCATGTCCTGACACGCTCGCGCAGGAGTGTCTGCTTTTAGTAACAAACTGTTCACACTAAGAAAGCAACTAATTTCCTGTAAGAGTTTAAAGCTGTAAGGTTTAGGCCAGTGCTGTCCACACATGGCAGTTCTGAAGTTCCCAGGAACTGCACTGTAAGTGGAAGGAAGCAGGTGAAATTAGTTTTAATAGTCTGTTTTATTCAACTTCGCACTCAAAATATTATCATCTGAACAGGTAGTCAACATCCCAAATTACTGAGTTTCTTGTACCATGTCCTCCAAAGTGGTGTGTGTGTTTATACCTAAAGTACATCAGGATCACGTTTTGTGTAATGCAGAGTTGAAACTATACATCCACGTTGTTTTGAACATAGTTAAGTATTCCAAAAGCTGAAATGTGACTTAAAATATTAATTGAAATGAAGTGAACTTAGGAATTGGCTTTGTCAGCCTCATGCGCAGTGTTAGAGGCACAGTGGGACCTTGGGCTGAAGTGTGTGACAGCTCACCTTCCTCCCACAGACAACAGGATCAAGATCGCAGAGCGGATGGGCGTGTGCGAGGGGGACCAGCCTCCTCGACGAGACCCTGAGTCTCCCTTCGGCCCACGCCTTACCCTGTCCCTGCCCGGCCCCCAGCTCCGGTCGTCCGGCTCGTCCGCCTCCTCCGTGTCCTCGCTCTCCGGCAGCGACATCGTGAGTGGCCCCCTCTGAGCCCTGGGGCTGCTGCGGGTCGTGGTGTACAAACTTACATGGAGATGAGACCAGCAGTCTGGGCGTCTCAGTTGTGATTCTGTGATGTTCTTCAGTTTTGACCTGACAGGGAGGAGGCCTGGGCAGAGGGGGCAGTTGATCCTGGGACCCCCTGGGACTCACCCCTGGCCGCTCCTGTTGTTCCGAGGGGCATGAGCCTCAAGTGCAGCCCTCCTCTTGTCCTCCCCCAGGATTCGGACACACCGCCCTGTACGACACCCAGCGTGTACCAGTTCAGCCTCCAGGCGCCCACCCCTCTGCTGGCCAGCCTGCCTGCCGCCCTGCCCATGCCGAGTGGCAAACCTCAGTCCGCCACGTCCAGGACGTTGGTCATGACAACGAACACCCAGGTACACAGCTGGCTGGGCCCTTCCCAGTGACGGCCTGGGACCAGGTCTGAGGTGGTGTGCATGGTAGGATTGACTGACACGTTAGATTAGAGAGAGAACCCTTAGAAGTTCTTGGAACAGACATGTCTGTCCTGTAGGACATTCTCATCCTTGGTGGGTTGATAGAATGTGGTCCTGTCATTCTATAGAAGTCTGTGTTCTTGAGCTTCAGCATAAGCTGGGCCCAGAGCTGGCTCTTGACAAGGATCACATGGTCTTTCTGCAAGTGACGATGCTCAGCAGGAGGCCACCATCCTGGGATGATGCTGAGAGGGCCCTTGGTGCTGTCCCTCAGCCGAGAAGGATGCTTTCCCTGATTTCCTCAAAGAATCCCGTTGTTTGCACTGTTTTCAGATTCGATAGCAACACTGACTTCTCCACGTTATTCACTATATACTCTTATAGACTTTCTTCTATAATAGTATGTCCTTTTTCAAAAAATTGAAACAAAATTAGTCTAAAAGATAGATTTTTAGAGGTAATTTTCGGTGTTTTAGATTTGTAGCTTCTTCCCAAATATACATCAACTCCATATGTATGAAACTCATCACATTAATGCACTTCTGAAGTAGAGTCGGCTTTCACAAGCAGTTGTAATCTGAGCAGAAGGTGATGGGGATTCCTGCTTGTCCCCACGTGTCTCTGCGTTGCTGGGCTCCCCACACAGGTGGGGTGTTTTCAGGACACACCCCAGGCTAAGGGGGTGTGGAGGCAGCAGGCATGGGATGCACAGTGGTGGCCATCAGCACAGCCCCCCAGGAGTCTTTTCCTGGCACATTAATGAGTGAGGAACACGGAGGCAGCACCTGCATGTGGACGAGAGCTGCCACAGACAGACTTGGCTCTGACCTCTCCTCGGGCCTGGCTCCCTGCAGAGCCGTGTGCAGGCGCTCCCCGCGCTGCACCTCCTTGGTGGCCTCAGGACCACGTGCTGCCTCTGGTCCGCTCTGTCACCTGCACAGATAGTGAGGCAAAAGGTAAGGCCACTCAAGTTTTTTTTTTTTTTTTTAAGCATGTTTGTTTATTTCACTTGGCTGCCCTGGATCTTAGTTGTGGCATGTGGGATCTAGCTCCCTGACCAAGGATTGAACCTGGGCCCCCTATATTGGGAGCGTGGAGTCTGACCACTGGGCAACCTGAGAAGAAGTCATTCACGGTCTAAGACAAAAAGCTCAAAGCCCGTTTTGTCGTTTTATTGCCAAACTGCAAATGTCACTTCCAGTGGAGTCACTGAGGGAAATCCCACTCGCAAACCTTCACATGCACAGTCTCTTGAGCGCCCCACTTGCAGTGAAGTCTCCCTCATCAGGATGCAGTGGAGACTTAACAGCCAGGGCACGAAGCTATCAAAGACCCCAGGATTGGGCTCTTCTCTGCACCCCTGGGGGCACAGAGCCCCCACTGAAGAGAGGTCCTGGGTGGGAGGAAGCGTGAGGAAGGGCTTTCTTCCTTGAGGCCAGCTCCTGCCACAGCTGTTGCTCAGGAGGCCACAGCCACCCTCCTGAGGTCTCAGGGGCGAATGCGGACAGTTCTAAGGTGAGAGCAGTGAGGGTCTGGAAAAGCAGGGGAGGGGCTCCCGAGCCAGCACCTCTGCCCTGATGGGAAGGCGGTGCAGAGATGGGAGGGTGGCAGAGGTGCGGGTCATCCATCTGCAGGCCTTCAGTCCATCTGGCCTGGGGCCTCTCTCACTGCTCGACCCAGGGCGTTACCTGGAGACCCAGCGGACAGTTTCTCTGATAATTGTAGATCTCTTGAAGTTTTTGGTCACCAAAACCTTATGGCTTGGGTGACTGGACATCCTTTACGTTGTCATTGTGCTTCAGAGCAGACTGTTGTGAGGCTGCAGGCAGACACAGACTGAGGGGCTTGTTGTGAGATTGTAGTCAGACAGACTGAGGGGCCTGTTGTGAGGCTGCAGGCAGACCCACTGAGGAGTCGGTTGTGAGCGCCCTTCTTGGGGCTCCTGGTAAGAGCTGTGTTGCGTGGGCACTCATGCCGTTTCTGGTCCTCTCCCCCAGACCAGGTTTACTATTCCTGCCCCGACGCTCGGCGTGGCCCCCGTGCCCTGTAGACAGGCGGGCGTCGAAGCCGCCCCGGCGCTGAAGGCCGTCCACCATGTGTCCTCCCCGGCCATCCCTTCTGCATCCCCCAACCCGCTCTCCAGCCCCCACCTGTATCACAAGGTACGACCCCGTGGCCCAGGCGCTGGTCCCCCCCGCACGCTGGCGGCCAGCCCGCCCTGAGCTCCTTCTCCACCCCAGAGGGAGTCCACACACGTTCTTTGTTCTCCAGGGGCAGTTTGATCATTCAGCTTCATGTTTGCTTTCTCTGTAACAAGCAAAGCTTTATAAGTGTTAAGTTATTTTAAAATTTAGTATAGTTTAATTCACCTGTAAGCGTCTTTTTTTTTAACTTGAATTTGTTAGCATAAAAGTTCGAAGTGAAGAGTATCTAACTCCCATTTTTTTGTTAATTCGCACGGTAAGCTTTGGTTCTCAGGAAGCAAACGATGAAGCAGGAATGATGACGCTGCACACGGCGTCGCCCCTCACACCACTGCAGTGCCCCCGGTCTTGCTGCTGGCGCCCTGGGCGGGGGGGGGGGGGGGGGGGGGCGGCTGCACTGGGCTGGGCTTTCTGGCGCCCGGGGCCCTGGGGGGCGTGGGTCCACTGCCGTGGGGCCGCTCTGAGTCTTCCCTACACATTAGAAACACGGTTCAGGAAAAAGGCCGGGCGGTCGGGCAGAGCTGTGGCCGGGGTCCGGGCTCGCGGCCCACGGGGGAGCGGGGCTGCGGTGGCGTCCGTGCAGGCCGGCCTCGAGCCGCCCCTCTTGGTCTCCGCAGCAGCACGGTGGCATGAAGCTGTCCATGAAGGGCTCGCACGGCCACGGCCAAGGTGGCAGCTACGGCTCAGCGGGCACGGGTGGCGCGCGGCCTCCCGTGGGCAACCGGGGCCACCACCAGTACAACCGCACCGGCTGGAGGAGGAAAAAACATGCGCACACCAGGGACAGCCTGCCCGTCAGCCTCAGCAGGTAATGCTCCGGCGGCCGCCGGCCCGCCTCGCAGACGGCAGGGGCGGCCACGGGGCCCGGCCCGGAGACCAGGCCTGGCCGGCCACGCTGCATGCCCCGTGTGTGGCCACATCGTCAAGAGCAGCTCCCTGTGTCGTCTGTGAAGCCTTAGACGTGGACGCTGTCTGCTGCCTCCCAGGCGCCGCCTGCAGGGCCGGAGCGGGTCTGCACGGGACCCGGGGGCTGGCTGGGGTCGGGCCGCCTCTCGGCACCGTGCTGCCCTGCGGGTTGGGTACTTTAATTTCACGTTGTCGGAGCAGCGGAGTGCGAACCCCAGTATTTGTAGGGAGGTCATCATTGTTTTACTGCCCTCACATTTTGTTTTGAATTTCAGAACTGTTTTTCTATGTAAATATTGAAAACTTATGATTTGTGCAATAACTCAGATATTTTTTATTTAATTTCATATTTTCACATAAGTTATATTGAAGGGAGGAGGGAATTTTTTTAAACAAGCTTAGATCCTTTCCCGAGTTGCATTTTCTAAGTTGGGTTCATCGTGTCGGCTGGTTGATGAGCGTCGTTGTGAACACCATGAATGAGGGGCTTGGGTTATTTTTATGTTCCTTCTTCAGGTCAGATGTGAGGCCTCTCAGCCTGCGGTGAAGGAGCCAAGTCCCCCAGTGGGCTCCCTGAGGGGTTCAGCTCCTAAACATTCTGACCAGCTGCCCGCCGGCTCTGCTGTCCGGCCTGTCTGTGGTCCTGCTCTGACCTCGGAGTTTTAATGTTTTGGGTTTGGTTCTTTTAAACTGTAGACAACAGACCCAGCATTTAAAGTGCCAGAGTACAACTTTCTACAGGGAAAAAAGGTTGTCACGTGGTAAGATCTTAAACAAGCGTGAACTGTGAGCCGCTGCAGGTTCAGTCACGCAGCCTGTCATGACGGGTCTGGCGAGCACAGACAATGGCACCCAGTTTTAGGAATGTGGAGAAAGGAGTTAGGTTGATTCCATTGTGGAATCTGTAGCGGTATGCATTCGTTCTGTTAAGAGCAACTATAGGAGAAGTACTTGAGCTGCTTGGCGCGCCGTGGGGGGGTTTAACACATCGCAGGAGGGCACAGTCCAGTGTCGGGCCCGAGTGGCCGGCGCCCGACCCGAGAAGCATCCTATGCAAGTGTGTTCTGCCACGACAACCACTGTCTCTGTTACCCATCCCGAACACTGACGCAGCCACCCTGCCTCACCCTGGGTTTCCTGAGCGCCGCAGGTATCCGGGAGGTGGGCGCCTCTCCTGGGTTGTCCGGCTCCCATTTTTAAGACAGGGTTCTGACCCTGCTACACTACAGGCGGGATGGTCTTTGAAGTCCACTAGTGAGAAACGGGACGGGAAGCTTACTGCTGTGACCCCGCACGTGCAGAAGCGGGGCGTCCTTGAGGGCTCTGAGCGCCACACACACCCCGCCGTGTCCGCGGGCCCCAGAAGGCAGGGCTGGCCCGCCTGTGCGGAGAGGGGCTGACGTGCCTGCAGGCTCCCTGGGGCGCCCGAGCTGAGTAGCACAGTTTGTCTGCGGTTTGTGATGATCCAAGGTTATCAAAAATATTTAAAGATATTTAAATTGTGAACCTATTGATAAAGAATTATTTATAAAAACTGATACGTAGGCCTGTACTAATCTCTCCGCATTAGCAATATTGACTGTAACCCTCCACTAAAGAAACACGGCGGGGACTGGGAGCACCGCGGGTGGGCCCGGGACGCAGTCCCAGACTGTGGCGCCAGGCTCCAGCCCACACGGTGAACGAATGAATTGGCCTGGCTCCCTGTGGCCACATGCCGCAGGCTGACAACAAGATATATCATGTTTCGGTTTTTTTTGTGCGTGGACAACAATGTGGAAGCTAAAATTGACATATTTTTATGTAAAGTTTTTCTATTCTTTGATTTTTAATAAACTTTGGAAACCAGGTGGTGGCTGTGTTTGTGTGTATGCCTTTTCCTTTCAAGGCGGGGGCGGGCTGCCCTCTGCGGGTTTCATTCTTGCCTTGGCCAAGGCCAGACAGCCAGCTATCATGTTGTCATTGGTTCATGAACTTGGAACCTGGTGAGGTTGCAGGCTGGGCATGGGAGAATGAGCCCATCCTAGGCTAGGTGATAGGATGCGTCAGAGCCGTTTATTGATGCTCTTCCTGTGTCATTTCTGACAAGCCGATGTCACACGGCGCTCAACTTCCCATCAGAATCCTTTGTTCCACCTCTCTCTTGGGTCAACATTATACGACTTCAAAATAGTGTGTTTGAAACCACCGAAAATCATAGCATGGCTTAAAATGTAGCTTACATTTAGATTAGAACGTATAAGGAAATTTATGAAAACTCCCACTCCCCTGAGTCACTGAGCCACTGGGCTCGGCTGCGAGGCCTCTAGCCAGATGCCCCAGAGTCGCCGTGTGTGGAGCCCGGCGCTGTGGGGCTGGTGTTGTGGGCCCAGCGTGCCTTCATGTCCTCCAGGAGGCTTCTTGCGAAGACGCTCTGAGCCGGAGTCTGCAGACGCCAGGCCCGGCTCCTCAGGCACCCCCATTGCCATGAGGTCGCAGAAAGCCTCTGAGGGCAGCTGATGGCCCACGACCTCAGTGAAGAAGGGAGCCGGGGCTGGGGGTGCAGAGTGTGTGCCCAGCCGCTGGAGTCGTGTCCCGCTCCGTGTGACCCCGCCAGGCTCCTCTGCCCGGGGGCCCCTCTGGGCAAGAACACTGGAGACGATGGGTGCATTTTTCTGAACAGAGTGCCTGGGGTGGCCTTGGGCCGGGGGGCTGGGTGCGTTGGGGACCCAGGAGGCAGCCTGGGTGGGGTACCGGAGCTGGCCGGAGGGGCAGAGGGAGGGTCCCCCTGACTCTGTGGCCACCTCTGGAGGAGGGCGTTGGGTGGTTCAGCTGAGGGGACCGCTGCTGGGTTTAGGGTCTAGGGATGGCTCGCAGGTGGAGCCGTAGGCCACCTGGAAGACTCAGGGGCAGAAGTGGGTCTTTGCCCACAGCACTGTCTGCACCAGCTTGGACAGCGTGATTCCAGATGCCCGAGGCCTCCGGGAGGGGCAGGGGCTCAGTAGGTGAGCCATGCTGGGAGCCTGGGGTGTGGGCTGTAGAGACTGTGGTCTCCTCAAGTGTAAGCTGGGCCTCGGGGGGGGGCGGCGCTCAGGGACAGCGAGAGGGTGCCAGTACTGTATGGCGGGGCCCTGCATCCTACTGGGACATGGCATGCCGGCATCAGCTGTCTGGAGGGGCCCCTCAGCCTGCCGCCCCCGCGGCCCAGCTCCACGGCCTCAGTTTGACCCTCTGTTGGCTCACCACGTTGTCTCGGGCCGGTCAGCACAGACGCACAGGCTTCCAGACACCCCCGTGCCCCACACCCACAGCCAGAGCTCCAGGATTTCGTCTCTGAGTTGCTTTGGGATCTCAAGTGCCCTGTCTCAGCCCCATTCGCGGGACCTTGTACCTGGGCCCCAAGCTGCCTGTGTGCACGGGGTCAGTGACGTTGGTAATCCAGAAGCGAGTGTGTGTTTCTGTTTGTCACACTGTGATGGGTTTTTTAAAATTTTATCTTTTTAAAGTAGAGTTGACATATTAATTGCAGGTATACAGGTATACACCTTGGCTTCCCTGGTGGCTCAGATGGTAAAGCATCTGCCTGCAGTGCAGGAGTCCTGAGTTCCATCCCTGGGTTGGGAAGATCTCTTGGAGGAGCGCATGGCAACCCACTCCAGTATTGCCCGGAGAATCCCAAGGACACAGGAGCCTGGCAGGCCACAGTCCACAGGGTTGACAAAGAGTCAGGCACGACCGAGTGACTGCCACACACACACAACATTATACTTCAGTATTTGTATAGCTTACATGGACTGGGTTTCCACGCTTTCCTCCCAATCCAGGAATCTTCCCGACCCAGGTACAGAACCCAGGTCTCCTGCATTGCAAGTAGATTCTTCACCATCTGAGCCACCAGGGAAGCCCACTCCACTGAAAATCATTATGAAATACTGCCTATATTCACTGTGTGATGATCTGATGAAGCTTTGAGGAGGGTGAGATGCTTATATCCTTAAACTTCAGAATTTGCAAAGCTCCTGCCAATCCTTAAGTGATTTAGATGACCAAAGGAAGCTAACTTAAAAGGGATACTGGCTACCATGAAACACACACAGTCCCAAAGACCTCACACCCGGGGCTAACTCCCACCGTCTACGAGCTGCTCAAGAAAAGGTTTCTTTATTGCGTTTCCATGGCTCCGTGGGGATGGGGCAGTCCCCCAGTAATGATGAGGAAGCCCTAGGCCACCCCTGGTGGTGTCCTTCACTGTCCATCTCCCAGGATCCCTGGGTCCTGGAGAAGGACCAATTCGTGATTCAAAGGCTCCAGGGTGAATTCTGGGGCTTCCCTGGCACAGAGGGTAAAGAATCCACTTGCAACGCGGGAGACCTGAGTTTGATCCCTCCCTGAGTCAGGAAGATTCCTGGGTCAGGAGAGGGCATGGCAACGCACTCCAGTATTCTTGCCTGGAGAATCCCCATGGACAGAGGAGCTCGGTGGGCTACCGTCCAGGGGGTTGCAAAGAGCTGGACAGGACTGAGCAGCTAAGCAGCAGTGGCAGAATGAACTCTGGAGCAAGGTGGATGAACCGGATGAACCTGGTGGTAATGGGCTCTTAGGAGGAGAGGCGAGTTCTGCCTGCAGGGAAGCTGCTCAGCGGGCATCCCGGCCTCTGCGGGCCAGCCTGCAGTTCCTCGAGGTTTCCTGTGATCCCCGGAGACACTGCTGAACTCAGGCTGAACCCCTTCGCCTTACTCCTGGTGTCGGGGGCCACCTGGGTGGATGTGTTCGCCCGGTTATGTGCAAACCACCTGGACGTGGTTTTCTCTGCCAGTGTTTGTACTGTAAGATGCTGGCCTTCATAAAGGTAATGCTAGAAAAGCGTGCTCCTCCCAACCTCTGGTCCTTCTGGCCCCTCCCTGACTCCCTGGTCTTCCCCTGCACC